AAAAAAAAAAAAAAAAAGCAAAAACAAAAAAAAAACAAAACCCGTGAAAAAAGCAAAAGCAGGAAAAAATTTTAGCCAATGAAAATTTTCTTATAAAAACCCATCGCCAGTAAAGGACTTCCTTATTTATGGCGCTTGTGCACAGGTAAGGCTGAGAACAAATAAGTTTGAATTTACAAACAAATTCCACACAGTAATTCCAATAACTGGCTTCGGCAGCAATGGAATGGACTGTGCTATCACTTTGCAACGGTGCACAAAGTTTATACCTCCGTTTTTCTCCTCCACAGAAAAAAACCCAGCTTCATCCCCATGCATCCAGTCTAGCCCCTTTTTCTCAGTTAGTATCTTTCATTTTTGTTCTCAATATTCGTAAAAAAAAATATATTTGCTTTTATTCATCCTTAATCCACAAATGAGTGCATTTTGCACGCAAGTTACGCGGCCGAGCGGAGTTTCAGTAGCTGATTATCCCAGCTCCTCTTTTGCCACCAGTCCGTGCGGTTCAAACAGCACCACAGTGTCCCCCTTCCTATCCATCATCCCCAAACTACGTTACTCAGCACTCGGAAGACGTTACCAAAGCGCTTGAAGAAACGGCACCCATGACAGCTATGCAGTCTCATTAGCAAAGAACGTGGGTGTTTCGTTATTTGACCGAGCCAAGCCAAGCCGAGCTCAGCCGGGTTCTAGTAATTGCCTTGTCAAGTGCTTCTTTCGGAAGATCGTCCTTCCAGGGGAAATAAACGTCAAAATTGCCAGCACCAGGCTGACCACCAGGCGACGTAATATTAGTCGAAACAGCTGAAAAAATCGCCGGTTGCATGACTGAAGAAATACGCAACCGATCATAGCAACAAAGTAAAAATATTTATAAAAGTCCCTAGAATATCGGCTTACAAGCGTAACGATGTGAACTGCAACAACAGGACGCACCGCTACCTGTGCTAATCAGCTCAAGTGCTTTGATCATTAGGACAAGTTCCGTCTTTGCGAGGAGTTTTGTTTTCGTCCCTTTTCCCCCACCGCCACGTCTCCTGTGGTACAAGCTCATCTGTGATGGAGAAAAATCGCACTGCTGTAAAGACTTTAATGACGAGGCCACGTACAGACTATTTTCATGGCTCCAAATTCACTGCCCTCTTGCTTCAAATTTCATTTCGCAATTAGCATGAGCCTGGCACAGCCGTTACCGGCCCATGGCAGTGTCTTAGTATCACCACCACTCAGACCGATTGGTCTGCTCTCGGATGATGTTTCGTGCCTATGTCAACAGCGAGCATCTGCGGTGGCAAGGCTGTTGATTCTTCACAGATTGTCTCACTGAAATGCAAGCATGCCATGCTCGTGTCAGTGCTAATTTGGTATTTGAAAAATCAGCGAGTCATGCGGGAAGCAGTTGTGCCGTGCTTTCCCTTTGTGAGTCTCACACAGTCGCTGATTTCATTTTATTATGAGAAAACGTTTCCAGCACCGATGACAGTTATTTCATGCAATAAAAACAACTCGGTCAACTATAGTGTCGTCCTCATTCTCCAAACATTGACCCCGGCCTCATTTCCGCTCGCCCTGCCGTCCTCATATCATCACACCCCATTCTGATCATTATTTAACAAACTGATAACGATTCAGCATCGCAGGAATGACTAAAACGGAAGCAGTAGCCGATGAAAACTGCGATAACGCTCGACTCAGGAATTCCATCCCATTCACCTATCCTCTCTCTGGCCTGGTGAGAAACGCAATATTTATTCTAATTTCTATCTGCCAACGTTTGCACCCTCTTCCCCCTTCCTCTCTCCTCCGTCCCGTTCTATTGTATTACCCTATATTTTTTCCAACCGAAAATATCATTTCAGTTTAATCCAAGAATGCTGAGTATACAAAAACAGCGTGCATAGCTACTTCAATTTAACTCATACTCGCAACCGGTGTTCAAGCTCTCACTGCTTTGTACCACTCAAGCTTTTGTGAACAAAACTGCGGCGCAGTGTCTCCTCAACACGTTTGGAGCTGCCACAGTTTGTATCCCGCCATGCTTCGACACTGTCTAACTCGCTGCCACTTCCACACCTTGCTGCCTTAGGTCGGAGTTTTGTGGAAAGTCAATTACAAAT